AATAATATCGCGCCCACGTGAATCAATAGAGCTACAGCCCCATGCTGTATGCCGGGCGTTAAAATCGCCAGCAATCAGCAAAGGCCCAGGGATACTGCTGATTAAATAATCAAGTTTTGATTTAGAAAATGAAGGGTTACAGTTACCTGGACTATATAAAGACACAAGAGAAATTTCTTGATTTCCATAATACAATCTTACAGCTATATTTTGAATTGAATCATCAAATGATGTATCTATCTTATGGAATTGCAAACTATTATGAATAAAAATGGCAACGCCATTATGGCGGTTACCTGAATCTAGTCTAATTATATCATAATTTTTGAGAGTAAACTGAATGTGTGGTTTTAACCATGTCTCAGAAATCAAAGCTACATGAATCTGATTCTCTTGTAGAAAATTTGTTAATAAGTATCTGTGTGCAGGTAAACTCTGAGCATTCCATTGCATTATATTTAAAAAATCCATAAAAAAAAAAAAAAAAAGATTAAGTGTTTTGTTTCTTATTTTTATTTATTGTTTCCAAGAGAGTATCTTTTATACTCTGTGTGGAAATAGCTGTTTCATTGTTTTTGTTCATTGTTATTAATTTGACAATTGACTCTACAACCATATTCAAAATAAAATCAGAGTTTAATAGCAATGCTAGCATATCAGTGGGGCTTTGTTTCAAGGGAGGGAATGATTTCTCATTAATTACAGCAGAGTATGTTTTATTCTGAGCCTTTTCTCTATTTAATAATATTTTTTCTTTTTTTACAGGGCACTGTGACGAAATAGCCACATGGTTCCCCTTGCAATGACAACATACAGCATCCTGACTTGATTTTGTACAGAGTTTAAAGTTATGTGACTCACCACATATGGAGCATCGTTCTGCATTCTTACAAAATTTGGCAATATGTCCATACCTCAGGCACTTAAGACACTGCTTGACTGGGGGTATGTAGGGTCGTAATTCGAAACGCCAGCTGTTGAGGTCGACACTCTCAGGTAATACTGGGCATGAAAATGTGATAGAAACTGTCTTTGTCGGCTCCAATTTATTTTCACCATTATCAGTCCTTATTCTTCTCATAAAACGTCGAATGCTTACGATATTTTTTGTAGAAGTCAATGCAGAGTATATTTGTTCATTCGATAATTCTGTGGGCACATGAGTGATGACACCTGTGACTTCGCTAGCTGCTGCCGGAATAGATGCCGACAGGTTGTATGCTTCCAAGAATTTTCTATTCTGTAATGCCGCGTTAGCCAGACCAGGACGTTCAAATACCACACCGATTTTATATTTATTCACTCTTCGCAACTGTTTTACACCTTTGTTATATCGCTTCAAGCAGTTTGCTAATCCCATCATGTCTCGATTACCAATAGGCTGATCAGATTTTGTACTCTCAATGAATACCACATATTCGAAACTTCCGCCTTGTTCTGGGTAAAATCGAACGTAATTAGGGATTCGGAAATCTTTATATTTGTTTAAGCTTTCTTTTTTCTCTTCTAGAGACTGTATGGAGGAGACGTCGCTAAAGTTAGAATCTTCAGAGCCATCTCCATCCACGCCGCCTTGTTCATCTAATTGTTTTTTCCTTTTTCTACTCTTCCTATTCCTCATTTTTTTAATACACTATGTACACACTTATTATTAAAGACTATTCAAAACACTATTCACAATAAATATATACAAAATTAATAAATTTAGTTTTATTCTTTAAAAAAGACCGCCAAGCTCGTCAAACGTTCCCGCGCTTTTTCCCATAGTAGTATAATTTTGTCAACTATGACATAAAGCACGCCGCGAGAGGTAGGGCGACCATAGAGGGCGACGTTCAGGACCTACACACCGTCCAGGTGCAAAATATGGCATAAGTTGTGTTCGTTATGCTAGCGGACTCCAGATTATATTTGCAGTTGTTACTTGCCAATCATAATCTGTATTTTCTAATAAAAAGTGCAGTTTTTATTGACATCAAATTAATAAATGCGAGTAGGTACGAAACTACACTGAAAGTGTTTATAACAGATACACCAAGAGCGACTGTTGTGCTAAGTTTAACTTTCACTGTTTGTTTATATACGGCACCCACTTTTTTCCACTTCCAGTTTTTGAAAACCTATGCAGTTTAGGGCCACCGTGCACCGCTTCTGTTTCCATGGTTCGGAAGACAGCAAGTCTTTTTCTAGTCAAGTTTTATAATGCACAGAGTAACATAACCTTAACGACGACATCGTGAGGGTGGACCATTACTATTGGCGGACACGGACGAAGGAGTTTATAAACTCCTTAGACGTAATCTTATTAATCTGTGCTCTTTAACGCGGACAAATGGGGCGAATGGGGGGTGACGAAAAAGGATGAAGAGGGTGAAGGAAATGTCAGATTCTAAAATACCGTTCCGTTCCTTGTCTTCATAGACACTAATTTTGTGGTCATCATCCACAAAATTAGTCATTTTTTTTACTAAGAAGATGCCATGCCGTGCTTGTGAGATTCTAAAACTAACAACAAGTGGATAAATTTGGCTACATATAAAATTCACAAATATAAGTCTTTGTGAATTTTAAGCAGGCATAATAGATAAAGAACTTTTTATTATTTGTTATACTAGTGGACTTGACAGTTATTGTTCTGCCCAAAGAAATTTTAAAAATCTTAGAACAAGGCAGCAAAATATCAGTCGTGAATATAAACTATTTAGGAACCTAAAGAGCTTCACTTATGGATGAGTTGAATTACATAACACAAACAGAAGTGCCTTTTATAATTTAAAGAATTTGTTGTTTGTTAAATCATCTTGTATACATTTTTGTGCTAACCTATTTTTATGAATTCATAAAACAAATATAATTATATCAAACTATGGCGGACCAATACTTTGCTTCACTTTGGCGTATACTATAGCTTTAGTTCTAATATATAGTCTATGTAACTTACAAATAATGTGGATTTGTTTTGATTTGTAAACGAATTTTTAAATTTGTTTCAGTAGATCCAGGATTACAAAGTCACAAACCGTCCCTGCCGCACATACCGTTTTCAAGCTACAAACAAACAACTGCAAGTAGAGTAAAAATATCGCAGTTATTTGGCTGCCTCGTAAAAGTAATGCTCACACACTAAGATGCTATTTACTAAAACTAAAGAAGAAGTCTTTTTTGCACTACTTAAACATTATTTATGCACTAAATAATAGCTTAAGGTAGCTTTCCAATTACAGCATTATAGCGCATTATGCGGCATAATGCTTAACGTTGAGTGTTTCAACTACAGCAACGCTTCGCACAATCGAGCACTCTCAAAAGTAATGCTTTCGTGTGATGCATGCAATCGTAGCAACTCAGAGACAGAAAATTAACAAGTGTTTTTTCTTTAAGTTGGCATTGATCGAAATGTTTTATTTATATGTTATCGTTAGTAATATTATTTATTGTTGAAAAATTATTAAAACTTTCGTTTCATTATAGTTTTTTTTTAAATAATCAAAGTTAATTCAAACTGTGTTAAAAAAGTAAATATAAATGAAGGTACAAACATTGACTTTTTTTTCCAACACTGAACTTAGCGCACTCTGCTGGTGCATTTGAAAAGTAATTCACGTTCCAATTAAGCATCAGCATAATTCCGCATTGTGCGCCACTGAGTCGCATTATGCTCTGTAATTGGAAAACCACCTGTTTGTCTATAAAGTCGTGACATGAATGTTTGAGGAACTAACATTATTCATGTGTCTGGCAACTCCGAACTTATGTACATCAGCTGTCCTCGAGTTTCAGTTGTGGAACAGTTTTCCTTTTGTGTTTTTTATTGTTTGGATTAAACTGTAATAAATTAAGACGAAATTACGCAGAAAGGTATAAAAATGAGTAAAGTAAATTGGAGTGGCACACGGGAAGTGATTTTTAAAGTTTTCCAGCGATGTTTCGAAGACTACCAAGCTGGACGAATTTTGTGGGATTTGGATGATGTTTATGAGCGAACAGCATCTATGACGGATATGTAATCGTGTAACTATTTGTTGGTAATCTGCCTGAAGTTACAAATTTACTCAATTTACGATTTTGAGACCAAAAAGGCATTGTTTACATTGCACATTTTTAGGTTACATTGACATTGTAACTGGGTAATTTTGTAGTACGACCATTTCTTTTGCTACGTTATTATGGTTCAACTCGGTCAGGTTTTCTATCAATTTTGAATTAATTGCTTCATGTCAATAAGTTATTGTTTCTGTTCCGTTACATTTTTTTTTCTTTTTTGCAGGAAAATCAGAGAGTCGGATAGTCAACGAAGGTTTTAAGAATGATGGAAAGTTTGAAACTCCTGGGAAAACAGGCAAGGCCGATCAAAGAAAGAAATGGTCACATGAAGAACCATGGCCAGATGCTTTTAGTGAAGATACCTATCACTAATTTTACTAACTGCACATTTGCAAATTGTTTCTCTAAATAAACTTTTTATATACTATAAAATGATTTTTAGTATTATTTTCTTAACAAGTGTGTTAAAAAACGTCGTATGATGATAATTGTGTGTATTGATGATTACCTAACGGATCTGGATTCAATGGCACCTCAGCGGTAATCACCAACATTACACACTTTTACAATATAAAGTACTATATTATCTATAATAATTTTATTCTGATTCAATTAAATATGCTTGGCTAAACTTTTTATAAGCATAGGTACCTACTATATATAAAACAGAAACAAAATACGACTGTATAGTGTGTCTTAATAATTACCTATTTTACTTGAATGAACTGCTAGTATCAAAATCATTTTGGTCCGACTGTATAGGGTTGCTACATGCATACTAGTGGCGCCATCATTTATTGTCACGACTTTATAGACAAACTGTAAGTAACAACCTCGAATTGATGTGGGTGTACGCTAGCATGATGTACATCTGTTTTCTGTGGCAACGTGACAACCAAATTGAATACTTATCTGTGGTGACACTGACAAGTTCCTTGCATGACAGTACAACTGACTGACAGCTTTATGAGTAGGAAAACAACAGTCCAAATCTAAAATCTAAAAATAAAATAAAAACAAATTCATAATCATTTATTGAAGAGTTGGTTTAAATTTAATGTCAATAAAAACTGCACTTTTTATTAGAAAATTCAGGTTATGATTGGCGTGACTCTAACTTTACAATAACTCAGTTTTGTATGATAAAAACTTTAGAAAAATGGTGTTAGTAAATGCAGTACGTACTTTCGATTAATTCTTTATTAAACTGAATAAAGGTACCTAATTTTTTATTATGTATTAGACTGATTTTCATCTGTGATAATGTTATTTATTCCAGGGCTACTGGTCTTTGTTATGTAGAGGTCGGAAGAAAAAGATCGCAACATTGATAACGATGTTAATTTTACTAATTAATGCAATGTTTTATGTAAGCTTTGAATTGTACAATAGTGTGAAACAGCGGCACAAGGAACCTTGGTATAAGAGGTATGTTTTACATGCTGAAAGTACCTTTGTATAATGGTTTATAAATGGTTGGTTTATTATTAACTGGTCACGGAAATGATTTAGTGGGTTCTTTATCACACAATGGCTTATAGAAGACATGAATGGAAAACTGTGTTACACAAGGAGGTGGTTGCTGACCAGAGCAATCTATCTATCCAATGATCTGTCAAAATTTAAGCATTTTTGAAAATTAACTTTCCTTTGATACTATACTCTATTTACTGAAATATTCTAATTTTTCAGCCTGCATTTTGATGAGAATTCGTATGTGGATAAGACTGGTATGAGGGTTGTAGTGGGACACTATGTTGGTGGTAATATTGGAGGCAATTTGTCAAATGGTAAGTTAAAATGTTATATCTACTCTTATCCTATTCCTTATTAATTTTAAAAAAGGTGTATGTTTCTTTCTCAAATATGCAAAATTAGCTGAATGGCTTGGGGGATGAAGTCTGTGTTTTTTAGTAGTGCATTACCTGGATTGATTTTTTTTATCCTAGCAAAAATTGAGATACTTGTGGGATTCTAAAACAAACAACAACTTGATAAATTGGGCCACAGGTGTTTTCTTTTCATATATTTGTCTGCATTAAAGTTTAAATGTTTCATTCTAAAATTTACAAAGATAAAGCTATCTTTGTGAATTTTAAGCAGGCATAGTAAAAAAATAATAAGAACTTTTTATTATTTATTATACTAGCAGACTTGACAGTTATTGTTCTGCCTAAAGAAATTTAAAAAATCTTAGGACAAGGCAGCAAAGTATCAGTTGTGAATACAAACTATTTAGGAACCTACAGAGTATATGTATTCAATAAAAAATTGGTTCACTTAAGGATGAGTTGAATAACATAACACAAACAGAAGTGCCTTTTATAATATAAAGACTTTGTTGTTTGTTAATTCATCTGATACACATTTTTATGCTAACCTATTTTTATGAATTCATAAAGCAAATATAATTATATCAAACTATGGCGGACCAATACTTTGCTTCACTTTGACATATACTATAGTTTTAGTTCTAATATACAGTCTATGAGTCTCACAAATAATGTGGATTTCTAATGGTAAACAAATTTTCAAAATTGGTTCAGTAGATCCAGAGATTACAACCTCATAAACTTCTGCTGTTTGAGCTACAAGCAACTGCAAAAAGAGCAAAAAGGAGATTGCTCAAATTGGCCCAAATACACAAAAAATATTGACATACATGGTAATTCTTGGCGTAATTTATAATTTAATTTACAGTCATTAGATTTCAACGGACACCTTTGTATAATATATTTACTTTAAAAAGGACTTTTAATTTTACCGGTTTGGAAAACATACAAATCATTTTTAATGGCTATGGGTGTAGTTATATTCAGCCAAAGACTGATCGAAGTTGTTTATATAACATAAAAACAAATCTATTTTCTAAAGATTGACAATTTTTTTTTTTCATTACACTGTGGAATTAATATCCACAACTATATTATCATTTTCACTAGATGCAAATGTGCTCAGACAATTATTATAGATGGTAGGCAACACCATAAAGTCTATTGCCATACATTTTTCGCCAAACACCTCCATAAACACATTATAATCTGTATATATGTTAGACTTTAAGGTCTCTATCTAAGGGCCTACGTTCCCTGACTATAAATTAATAAATAAATAAAATTATAAGGTGTGATACACTAAAAATCTAAAATATGGTTATCTTAAAAACATAACAAAAATAATGAAGCTACTGAATATATAGAATAGAATATATAGAGGCTATAGAACCTAAATCTTTTAGCTTTCTTTGGTTAACGAGAGTTTAAAATTCTCTCTAATCTGTGGCTCATTCACAATCATCACACAGTTTCTGTCACAGAGGACCTTATTATAACCGGAAATGTCACCTGATTTTAAAAGTTACTCTTATGCATTAACTTTAAGTACAGGCAACTATCTGTTAATCTACATGCTCTATATACCTGAATCTAATCCATAATTTCGGTACTTTGCTGGATTTCCCTAGTTTACTATATAAATTATTTGTTTTTTATTATTTAAATATGTTCAGTGTATATGGTTTATAGAAGTTCTCAGGGGTGTCCGTCAATAATATTCATTTCTACAGTAATTTATATATAATTTCGAATCTAGGAAACAATTTTTCATGATTATTGGTCTTTAGGCCAAACATGTATGGAAGCTGAGCAATCTTCTTACACAGTTATTTGGCTTACAAAAGTTATGCTCATTTGCTGTGATTGTGTCATCTTGGATAAAATACATTAAGGGCCAAATGAAGGCTGAAAATTAATTTCACAAAATGATTTTTTATCTTATTTGCTTGGCCTATAATAGAAATAGCATTGTGAAGTACTCTTCTGTCATAGTTCAATATTAACCATATATAGTTGTAGGTATAAGTAGAATGTTAAATTTCATTGTTAGAAGATACAAAAGATCGACTTCAATTTTATTTTACCATTGTTAAATGTTATTTTTAGGAAGTAGGTCAAAGGTAACTGGTGTTATTTTCAATAAATCCATTACACTGTAATACAACAAGTTTATCTTTAACCTATAGAATACTGACTAAATATGCTATGGCCCCTTTTCTGTACAAAGGAGAAGTATGAAGATAATATTAGGTGAGAAATGAAAATACTTTTACAGTAATATAAAGTAAAGTATGTATGTGTAATAAAAATATCTGGTTGATATATCATCTCATTGTGATTCTATGTAATCCTTTTGAATTCCATGATGGATTGATCAGGGAGATGGCGTTTCCCCCATGACCTCAATTTATGTGATGGAAATGGGTTGCAATAAGGAACATCATTTGTATATGCACTTTTTCGTCAACCTTCATGTTCCTTATCATACCGGTACCCCGTGCCCCACCTCTGCCGACGCCAGTGGCTCTCAATTAATATCGTTTACAAAGAAGACGGTATTATTAGCTTAAAGAAAAGCAAGAAGAGCACTTTACTTCATCAGAAAATTCATGTCACCTACGTAAGATATGTTGTTATTTTCCGACGTCCATGCGAACGAAGTCGCGGGCACAGCTAGTTTTGTATAAAATCCTACATTAACGTAAGATTAGTTAAATTTTTGTATATCGATCATTACAACATCGATCTATCTACATGACTGTAATAACGACCCCCCCCGTATTTCAATCAAAATAAACCATTAACTTAAAAAAAACCAAGGAAGTAGCAGCTTTAGGTTAAAATATGGCATTGCAAAAACAAGTAATCAGCGAATTGTCGTCGATGAATTGTGGCGGCGCGGTGGCGTGCGGTGCGGTGAACGCCAAATATAAAGTGTGACTGTTAATAAAGCAATCTATCTAGTGTTTATATACCAAATATTGTCCAAATGTTTCTAATGATTAATGTTTTTCTATTAACAGAATTAATCCATAGAAACAATTATTCTCCTGTGCCTGGAGAAGGGGAGGGTGGCAGACCAGTAATGCTGTCCCAGAAGGAATTAATTACAGCAAGAGAATTATATGCACTACACTCCTACAATATACTAGTTAGTGATAAAATTTCAATTAATAGAAGTCTTCCAGATTTTAGAAGTGATAGGTATGTTTGGCTTTCAATATGTTTAAATGTAAATGTTAAACGCTTTATAGCTTGCGCAGACGAGGGACTTATGTCCGCGGACTTTATAGTAACGCACACGACAGATTAAAAGTACCGCGTTCAAATATTCACTCCAACAACCGTGGACACCAAGAGACCGCATTGGACAAAAGTACGAAGGTGTCCCCGAAAAAAAATAAGAGTACTGATGTCGCTAGGCGCAGCAACGCACACAGCGAACACAGTATAATGCGATTTAACTATGAATAGGACCGGCTGGGCGCCATATTTTGACGTCATAGCTATCAATTCAAACCAAATAGGTAGAGTGAGCAAAAAAAAGATATTATTTAATAAAACTTCTAACTAAGATTAAGTGAGAAAAAACATCAGCTTTTTTATTAACATATTTACTAAGATTGAGAAAGAACCAACTAATTTTAATAATATTTATTTATTAAGACTGTGTGAGAAAAAACATAAATCAGAATCTAGCTCTGGGGCTGTTCAAGTATTACGTAAGCACTATAGGGGGGCAGGGGGGTCTTTGCTTTGCTTATTTTTGATGACATGGGGGGGTGGGGGGTCGATATGGTGATTACGTCAGCATCATCGATTAAGCCTTTTTAAGTACTGCTGCTCATGAAGCTCATGAAAGCTCATGAATCAATAAAAAAAACAGAATACATTAAAGGAAAAATGCATATAGGTACCAATGTTTACGTGAGGATGGGGGGGAGGGGTAAGAGCTTTGCTTACTTTTGCTGACAAGGGGGAGGAGGGGGTAAATAATTGTAATAAATCTGCTTACGTAATACTTGAACGGCCCCTCTTCAATTCCGCTCATCTCTGCATTACCGCCGGAGTAGTTATGAATAATAATGCACTATTACTAGGTCACATAAGAACATCCTTTAGGTAAACGAAACTTTTAAATTGAGTTTCTGAACGTAACTTAAAGTGACATTTGGTTGACGGATTACGTTATCAACCATTCATAGCCAAAGCTCAACAAATGAAAAAAAAATATCAACCAATATTAATTATCAATATTTGTTATTGTTTGTTTACAAATGTGTGGGTTTTATTCAAGAATTAGCAGAGTGTTAAAAAAGGGTTTCAAGATTTTTTTGCAAACCGTACTTTTCAAGCGACATTTGACAGTTGGAGGTCATTGGCTTTCTTAATTGAATCGCATTATACGTGTTGCGCGCTCAATCCGATTTAAAGAGATGGACTTAGTATTCGGGTTGAAAACGTCTTCTTAAACTTTATGTTAATTAAAACACAACGTTATCTGTAAATATTTACATATTTCATAGCTTCTGAAAGTTTTTTAGGCAACAAATGTTCGCACTTAGTGTGCTTTGAGTGACAAGTCCTCGGCTTTGTCTTCGCTTCACTCTTAAACTTTAAAAAGAAAAAAATAAATATACTTCATTATCATCATCAGCTTATTGATGTTACCACTACTGAAACACAGGCCTTTCCTGTTCACGGAATACAGACAATCTGCCATGACATGACCCACCACTCTGGCCCAGAGCAAATAGGTGGGTGCTAATTACTGCAGATGTACCACAGCCCCCGTAGCAATAATAAATTTAAGGTATTATTACTACCTGTAATTTTTTTATCCAAATCAGTAAGTACCTACTATAGTGCGATTAAAACTTCGTTGATCGATATGTAAAAAGAAAATTTTATCATATAATAAAATGTAGGTAAATATTAATCTGATATTTTTAATCACGACTAAAATGTAATTATGTTTCAGTTGTAAAAGTATAGAATATGATATGAATAATCTTCCAACTGCTAGTGTGGTCATCGTTTTTCATAACGAGGCTTGGTCAACTCTAATGCGTACTGCGATGTCGGTACTAATCAGATCACCAGAAAAATTGCTAAAGCAGGTAAGAGAATTATTAGTATTCCCATTAGGATTAGAACTGATACACTTTGTAAAATAACAACACGCCAATAATTTTTATTTTAATTGTTTATTTTGGGGCCTAATTGTCTCATCCTTTTTTTCTTAGTGGTTATTTTTTACGGGGATAAGCTAAATATGTAACAATGACTCGTTTAAAATGTTGCAGTTGAAATTTTGTGCCATCCAAACCCAATAACAGCTGTGAAATTAGCACAAGTCGCAGCATAATAAACGAAAATAAGGTGCATGCGGTGTGTCACTGAAAACTGACTGACTGACTGAAACCAACGCAAAGTTGCGCTCGCTGCTAACTTCACATAAACCGCCATAAAGTTTGAATCACACTACAGACAATTATCCCACAGAACTCAATGTTCAAAAACACAGTAGTGCGAGCGGTAAGTTGATAGTATGCAATTATTTTAAGCCGATTTAATGTATTTCAGATAATTCTGGTTGATGATGCTAGTGATAGGAAATATTTGGGAAAAGATTTGGAGCAGGCCATTGAGAAGCTGGACAAAGTTCAGTTGCTCAGAAGCCCGGAAAGGACGGGTCTGGTGGGGGCGCGGCTCATGGGGGCGAGGACTGCTACTGGAGACGTCTTGGTCTTTCTAGATGCACATTGTGAAGTAGGTGCTAATATTTTTTTTTTCAGTTTCATAGCTGTGTAGCAAATCCCTTACAACGCAATGGGTAACAGAATAGAGTACAGCAGGTATTCTGCATAAATTTAAATTAGAGCACTAAATTGGAGCAAAACTAAATACGTAATTAGGTTTTTATTTATTTTTTGTTTTCTGGAACTGTCATTAATAGCCTAATTATCATTGATGAATTAAAAATACATACAGGTATAAAGAATTCAATACCCAATAGCCCTTGGAGGATTGGCAGGGCATTAGAGTGTAATTAGAATTTATGATTCTCAATAGCCTATTTAACAGTATGAAAATTAATGTACTAATTGTTGGCATCTGTATTTAACATGAATATTAACAGCGGTTTACTATAATGAAAGAATAAATTTTCAATAAAATCATTAAATAGAAATGTTTTTTTGCTCAATGGTCACGGGACCGAAAACCTGGGATTCAAAATCATTCATTCAGTCTAGGCTGTTAATTGTTTCTCTTTCAATAAATTATAAAAATAAAAAAATTACAAGGACAGCATAGGCCCCATCTTGTAAGTTTGACTCATTATAACCTTTTTCCTCAAATTAACGTAGGTTAGACCGCACGGAACCTTTAGTTGTGACATAATTGTAAAAGTTAGACATATGTTTTCGGGTTTTTTTTGTAGATATTTATGTTTTCTTTACAACTTTAGTACATCATAAGTGTGCTTTTCAATTGGTCTCTTTCCTGAATGACATCTTCTATATGTTGTGAATGCACTTCGGCTAGTTCAATCTTCAGCTGCGAGTTTCGACTAATAACAGCTTTGATTTCTATTTCACTGTCTTCGCGTTACCTTAGATGCTGATCACATGTATTCTTCGACTCCTTTAACTCTAGCATTACCTGCTTCAACTTCATTTCTGTGTTATGTGCAACAGCTTTGCGGGTTGGCATGATGTTGATAAATACCTAAAATGTTTTATATACTACTAGTGCCCCGCCCTCGCTTCGCTTCGGTGTAGAGCTGTAGTGTAGACTATAGTTTTAGTTCACAGGCTTGTATATGTTACCGGCCAAACCCGATTTCAGGACAAACTAGTTTTGCCTAGGCTAAACTGGTTCTTCCTATGCGCGATAGGATTAACTAGTATAGCCTAGTCCAAACTAATTTGTCCTAAGCCCGATAGGATAAACCAGTTTAGCCTAGGCCAAATTAGTTGATCCTGATAAAAATACGCATACTCTAGGATAAACTAGTATGGTAATAGATAAACTGAATAAAATAATCCGTAATTGGAAAAATAATATTTTTTATTAAAACCATAATGATTCATCGTTACAAGTTATGGATAATTAGTAATACAAAGAAAAGTAAGAAAAGTTTAATTTTTCTAGTAAACTTTTCTTTAGATTTAAACACCTAGCAGTTAAATGCTTAAAAATAAATAAAAACACTAACTATAATTGCTATTTCTTCTTTCAAATGTTTAATACTTGAAAAAGTATTCATTTGACATTGTGGGTTGCGTGGTTGCAACCTACAATGCGAAGAGATGGCGCTGCCTTGCAGCTTAAGGCTAGGAAAATTTCGACGCGGCGAATAGGGCCGTGGTAGCATAATGGTCAGTGCATTCGCCCGGATTGCGAAAGGTGCGGGTTCGAGTCCGGTCCGCTGCCTGGTCCGCGTGGTTTTTTTTTTCTAGTAAACTTTTCTTAAAATATTTTGAGTTTACAGTGAGATGAATTGTAAAAGGTTCGAATGATTCGGAATTTCTTAAGCCGGGTAGTTACTCATTGGCGAGCTGTAACCATAACCGTTGCACGCACTGTAACCAAAAAGCATAGTGTGTACGTGGTTCGATAACCTGCTGCTAGAACGGTACGCGTGTGGTTTGAAGCGAGCCAACGTTCACAACTGAGCTACTAGCGTACACACTAGAACTTCGTACTGTATCACGCATGTTACGGTAACAGATCGCTAATGCGTACCCGGCTTTACTGTCTTCCGAACTCCTGGCAACAACAAAAGAGTTAAACAAAAACCAATTACAGAAAAAACACTCCCTCCACTTTCTTCCAGCGTTCTTTTTACATGACGCGCCCTGTACAAGTCCTGACATGTCTGTTCAATTACTTTCCGCTTTGCTAAATTGGTTTAGACTAGGTCGTACTAGTTTATCCTAGAGTGTGCGTATTTATATCAGGATCATCTAGTTTGGCCTAGGCTAAACTGGTTTATCCTGTCGCGCTTAGGATAAATTAGTTTGGACTAGGCTATACTAGTTAATCCTATCGCGTATAGGAAGAACCAGTTTAGCCTAGGCAAAACTAGATTGTCCTGAAATCGGGTTTGGCCGGTAACATATACATACACAATGACATTCCTCTAATACCTAATTATAATAGCGTCGGAACCGCTATGTCCCTGCATTTTAAATCTGTAATATCTTCGAAAATGTTTAAAATACACGCAGGGCCAAATCGATCTATGTTAAATGCACAATGTATTTAAGGTACTGATAATTGGATAAGGATGAATTTTATATTGCTGTAAATCGCTTCGTAAATAAGCTATTATTTCTCGTAAAATGTATAGGATAGCAAAAGGGTTATTGTGGGTTATGCCTAAGAGATAGACATATACCATCGCGGACTTTTTTTGTAGACCTTTTTAAGGTGTACAATACTGTAGTACATTATTTTGATCTATCTTGTAGGGTTCAGCCAGCGTTTGCAATGTAAGCGCAAAAAATGTCTTTATTTACGACCTTACATTAAATACCTCTAAAATTATCAGTGTTTCTCTACTATATTATGCATGTATTATACATATAAACCTTCCTCCTGAATCACCCTATCTATTAAAAAACGCAAAACCGCATCAAAATCCGTTGCATAGTTTTAAAGATCTAAGCATACATAGGGACAGACAGCGGGAAGCGACTTTGCTTTATATTTTGTGGTGCAATGTTATCACTATTGTTTTAGCTTTACAGCAAATTATAATAAAATAAACTATTATTGGTGGGTACATAAATATATGATAATCAGTTTCTTATTGTTATTTTTATTTTTTTTCAATTTAGTTCTTTAACTGTATTACACAAAAGAATTAGAAATATCTACTTATTATGGACTCCATAAACATTAGAAAATAACGTGAGATCGTTTTCTGAATCTTGTCAAATAATCTAAAGTTCTATTTTTATTTGCAGGTCACTCAAGGATGGTTGGAGCCGCTGTTAGATAGAGCTGGCAACGACGACGTATTTATTTGCCCTCACATAGATTTATTATCTGAAGACACGTTAGCTTACACTAAGAGTATAGACGCTCACTGGGGCGCGTTCAGTTGGCGTCTGCATTTCCGTTGGCTGATGCCGAGTAGCGAGGTGATGAAGAACAAATCCGAGAATCCATCCAAACCATATCCTACTCCTGCGATGGCCGGCGGATTGTTTGCGGTCAGAAAGAGTTTGTTCTGGCGGCTAGGGGGCTATGATGAAGGAATGGTCATTTGGGGAGCTGAGAACCTGGAGTTGTCTTGGAGAGCTTGGCAATGCGGCGCCAGAGTGGAAATCACCTCTTGTTCCAGGGTCGGCCACATATTTAGGAGGCACAGTCCCTATAAGTATCCAGGCGGTGTAGCTAAAGTCCTGAATTCGAATCTTGCGAGAGCGGCAACCGTATGGATGGACGAATGGGCAGATTTCTTTTTCAAATTCAATCCTTCGGTGGCTGCCATCCGCGACCAACAGCGGGTGGCCGATCGCGTGGAGCTCCGTAAAAACTTGAATTGCAAATCTTTCAAGTGGTATTTGGATAATGTTTGGCCGCAACATTTTTTTCCTACGAACAAGAGGTGGTTCGGGAGAATACGGAACGACAGGGGTAGTTGTTTAGGTGTCGTTTCTAGTACACCAGGTCTGGGTGGCCCTGCTGCCGGTATCGATTGCGGTAACGATTTAGATATCGATAGACTAATAGTTTATACACCCGAGGGTAAATTGATGGCAGATGAAGGATTGTGCTTGGAACAAGGCAACGGTAGGGCGGTTTGGAAGAGTTGCAGCGACAAACAGAAGCAGATTTGGATACAGAAGGGTCCTAGGTTAGAGACCGATGGAGGTCTGTGTTTGACGTTATTGAAAAGTGATAGTAAAAACGGCGTCGGTAGCGCTTTGACGGCAAAGAAATGTATGAGTGACGTGGGACAGATATGGCATTTCGAACGTGTGCCTTGGCGTTAATAGAATCGGTATGTTGTGATAAATAGTATTAAAAATATTTCGTGATGTATTTAAATACTACCAGTGAGTATGAAAGGGTATTTTACTTTTAGGCAGCTATTTAACATCCAATGCAAAACAGGCAACGAATGCTCAAAAACAGGTATAGAGGGAAATGCTTGGAACACAATTTTTGACTTCGTATCTTTGTTAGGACTAGTTAGGAGGTAAACATATCAAAAGTCCCCGCCCGTAGCCCTTAAGCCGGGGGGAAGGGTGGGGGGGGATTGAAGGTTTTATTTTTAGGGTTTTCGCATATATCTCGGAAACTATGCATCCTAGCGACATGAGACTTTGACAAAAGTGAAAGCTGATTAAAATTGCTACAAGTCTTATTCAGTCAAGTTTTTTGATATCTTGTATAGTTTTCGAGATACCCGCATTTAAAAGTCTGTAATTATGGAAAAAAAAATTTGCTTCACATTTTTGCTCTATTTGACCGGATAACTCTTCAACAATGCTGGCCGTAGGGTTGTTGGTTCCACCAGTGAGCAGCATACCTTTTCGTTGCCTGGACTATATATTTTCCATTAAATCTGTTTATAGTAAGTATGACAACAAAATTTCTTCAAATGCGTTAAATTAACAAACATTGATTAGATATCTGTCGAAAAAAGTAAGCTTTACATACTATAAGTAATTTTTTCGCATTTTTTCACGAAGCTCTGCGGCATGTTGACTTTTCACCCGTCCGCGCGTGACTGTGTACCAAGAAGTGCTCGAGTAGTGTTCAAGCACTTCTTGATTGGGACACATTTTGAGCGCACGTGGTGTATCTATCGTGGGTATTTAATATCGTTGCTTGGTGTTTGTAAAGTTGACAGTATTTTTTTTTTCTTTTTATTCTTATCAACCATGACAGAAAAAACATTTATTATTAATACAAGACTGCGACTGAGCATAAGTATTAAAACTTGTAGGTATTTTTATCACTGCGTTATGAAAGTATTGCGTTTTAAGATAAGCGGTTGCCATGTGGAATTGATATACTTATTGGTTCTGACTGATCTGAGATATTGTAATTGATATAAAAAATCAAATACCTGATACCTAATTTTAAATTAACAAATATTTTTATTTTTTAAGTGTAATAGAAAAGTACATCTCATTGATGTTTCTAGTCTTAGTTTGATAATTTGTGATTTTTTCAAATAAGTACTTTCACTTATATTTTTAGCGTTAATTATATTCAATCTCATTCCATTAAATATTAAGAACCGAATTACACTACTTAGAGCTTATTAATTAAAATATTTTAATTCTATTAATGTACTTATTACTCTAGATAGGTATTAATGGAATTGTTCGAATTAAATTTTATGCAACGCAATTTGTATTACAATATTTAGCATATTTACTCCCGGATACATCTATCGACCCACTTAGTGTTATAACTTGTTACAAGTTTCAACGGGCTGTAGCAAAATATATGTATATGGTTGAGCAATAATTTTAAAAACACGAAAATGGTTTATAGATCGGCTTCAAAACTGCGTAGGTAATAAATTAGAATACATTCAGTTTAAGCTAGGGACCGTCAAAACTTGAATTGCTGGGTGGGTCGATACATGTTTCTGGAAGTGTAGTTAAGAAAAGCTAATATAAAATATGGCTTTTCGGGAACTCATTTGGGAGCCTTTTTATGATTCTGTAAGTAATTATTGTTTGAAGCTGGTATGCGTTTGATGAAATCATTTCTATGTAGAACCGTCCTCATAGAAATTAAGTGTAACTAATGTCTTTTTTTACTTTTTTATAAAATAACAATACTAATTTTAGTAATCTCTGAAATGTGATTATTGTATTGTTATTACTACGATTTAAATACATGGGCTACGTGTACAATATTGATCAATGTTCAAAACTATAGTGTGTTTCAAACATTTGAGAGCAAAATCAAACGAAAGGATAAGTCTGACTTATCATCGTAAATTGATCAATGTAATGATCAGGTTTAAACATTTTATTAAATTGCTGATTTAGGGGTAAAGTATTTGTTTACAAACGTTCAAATTTGTTTGAAACTGACCTTAATCAACTACGTGTTAAAACCTTAGATTAAAACAAAAAGGGTAGATACGGCACTAGCCTCACAAAAGTGATCCGCATGAATTGTGGTCCACGACCCAAATCGCTTTAGTCACAACTTGACATGCAAACAACGTACATGCGAACAAGAAATATTTCTAATATTTTGTGTTTATATGATAAAACAATGGTGTCAATTCTGGCGTGATTCTCTAAACTTAAAACTAAATTTAACATCAGTCTCACCTTTTCATTCTGTATAGAGAAGGACAAGGATGCACTGTTGTCAAATTTAAGTTTAGCTTTAGAGAATCATGCCAGAATCGACATCAATGCCTAAGTGTGTCTTTAAAAAGTGCTCAAATTGCTCAAGAACTAAAAATAAAACCCACGACATCACTTTTCATTCGTAAGTACTATAAAATATATTTTTTCATAAAAATTGCTGTTTGTTTTGAATCTTATTCGGTAGTGACGTCGAGTACTGGTCGCGTGATTGGTCGGTAGTGCAGTGACGCGGATCTCGCCGTCTCGTTCGCGCTGCCGTTGAAACTTAACGTGCTGTTTCGTTCGGGTCGGTAATGCAGTGACGCGGATATCGCGCGTCCCGTTCGCGCTGCCGTGGGATCAGTTTTTGTTTGATGCAAGTATGAGTGTCCCGTATCTACCCTTTTTGTTTTAATCTAAGGTTAAAACTTAAACCCTCTTTGTTATTATTAATTACCAGTGGAATAAACCACACATAAATAAAAAAAGTGACAACCTTTATGAAGACAACTTACCACAGGAAAACAATAGGTTATGACATTTTGATTTATTGATGTCAGTATCTATAGTCTTTCTATTAAAATTTTCGTCAATCTCGAAAGGCTATTTTTGCGTGCAATGTTGCCTTTACTTTATTATCAACCTTTACAAGATTATACTCCTACCCACTTTTTAATAAACGAGCAATAAGATTAGGCCCGTATTATAGAAAGATTCTCAGTGATTGATCTAGTCTTGAGCATAGTTAGAAAGGGATGTCGCTATATTTAGCACATAGCGGCATCCCTTTCTGACTGTACTAAAGTAACGATCAACACTTAGGCCCGTATTATAGAAAGATTCTCAGTGATTGATCTAGTCTTGAGCATAGTTAGAAAGGTTCTCAGTGATTGATCTAGTCTTGAGCGTAGTTAGAAAGGGATGTCGCTATGTGCAATATATTCGTATAGGACATAGCGACATCCCTTTCTAACTGTACTCAAGTAAAGATCAACACTTAGTTGTCATTCTGTAATACGGGCCTTAGACTAGTTACGCCGTGTTTTGTTCATATCACTCAAATGCTATTTGTAATTCAATAAACAGAGACAAAACAGAGTAACTAAGGTAAGCTTATTCTTCGTTTATTAATAAAAGGGTTTGTATGCGAAATTGCTTGTAATTACAAAACGGCATTTTCGTAAAAATATACATTACATAAATCTAATATTTTTGTATTTGTTAGTACTGTACCCCTAGCACGAACCAATATCGAATTCGTATCGTTTGCGAGTCCGAAATGTCATTGTCAAATGTGTACTGATTTCTAGTTTTCGTTACGTACTTTGTGCTGCTGCTGTTCAAGTTTTCATACAAAATTTGACATTGACATTTCGGTTTGCAAACTATTCGAATTCGTTAGTGGTTCGTGCTAGGGGTACTGTACCCTTATCACTAACTTCGAAAAGTTTGCGAATGCGAAATGTCATTGTCAAATATGTACTGATTTTTCTTTGCGAATGGGAAAAAAAATCTTTAGATTTTAACTTTTTATATTTTTTATGAAAAAAGTACAATAACGAATTTACACAAATAAAACATTGCAATAATTAATCAGCATGTGTATTTATTAATTTTCATTATTTTCTTCTCAATGTGTAGGTACTTGCTTACTTCTTACGTAGGTATTTGAATGTGTATAAAATCAGTCATATATTAAACCTTAAAAATATAACCACTTCACCTAAAAACGAAATGTAGTATTAATAGTGCAATGGGCAGGTACATCATGAGTTGCGTCTTAGCAACCGAGTTGCAATCGTCGCCTCTGCAGACGTAGCACCGGGCGTCGCTGTGTCCTCTCGCTCTCTCTACTGCAACTAGACCGAGACAGACCGAGTCCACCTGGACTTTAGGTATACAACCTCGAACAACGTCTACTGTGTTACCATCTAAAAGGAAAAGGAAAATTCTCGTTTATTTTAAGATCCTCGAAGCAGCATCAAACGCTAATATGATGAAAATTTATTCATGCACAGGAAAATTATGATGCACAGTAAATCAAATTTAGTTGTACACCTGAGACCCACGTACCGCAAAACGCAGTAAAGATTAATCGTACTGGATTTGGTAGCCACGGGAGTAGTCGGCTGGCTCTGTCCTATTCTCACCAAATGTTAAACTGGTACCGTAAGAAAATAAATAGTGCAACTGTAGTGTGGTGAGATGCTAGTTAAAGGTTAGGCTTATTTTCCTGTGTACCTCTAACTGATGCCTTGAGGAGGGCGACACTGGTTTAATGTTCATAGAAAAAAAATAAAACGAAATGACGTGAGATCGATATACGCGATATTAATCATGAGATTTCGACCTTATTGCAATGCGCATGTTCAAACTATGTACTTTTCGAGGAAATTGGTCCTATTATCCAAATCATAGCACTAAACTGTATCTTGGACAAGTACTTGAGAACCAACCATCTCTCATATCATTTACTTTTGCAAGAAATGCAAGACTAGCTCTATCCTTATGTGAGTATTTAAGCCATAGATATAAAAATATAACTATCTTTGATTTGAACTTACAAGTTTTGTCATCAGGCGTCGCGACTAGCTTCAAGCATCTGTACTCGAGGTGAATCCAGCTGTCTGTGGACGGTGGTGGATGGCCAATATTGTGGACCCACTGGGCCGTCACCCAGTTGGACGGGTGGCATTCCACTCTTGTTCCGGGGCCGGCTGATTGCTCCGGACGACAACCTAGGCAGCGCTGGTAGAAACAGCTTTCCGGTGATACTGTAATAAACAGTTTATATTCAACACTTTTTTATGTAAAAAGGGTGGCAGTGGCAAAGAAGTATATGGCCTGCCTAATGGTAAGCGGCCACCATAGCTTATAGACGTTTGCGACGCCAAATATATCCACCAAATTAGCCTGGTAATGTCTCGCTCCTCGCTGTTTATTTTACTAAGTAGGCATTGTCACGAACGCTCTCGAACCAGACCCGCGAAAATACTGGAAACTGATTTAACCAGAGCACTGCGGCTGGCGACGTGAATGACTTCTATGAAGGCCGAATGATGCGGTTCATTCTTATATGAGCATTGAGTCTTATACAGTGCGGCGTAAGGGTGAAAGTGCAACTTGTTTACAAACCAATGCGCGTTACCTACGTCACTAAGCACTACGTACTCGCCGGTGCTCAATTGAACTGGACTTTTCTGGAATGCGTCGACTGCCGTATGTATAGATAGGGCGAACCGGGCGACCCAAATTCCAAATTTTGGTCATTGTGTGAGGGCACGGGGCTCGAGCAATCTAACACTACAAGAAATACTTAATAATCATGGCGATCCTAAGAAGCTACACAAAACTACAGAGTGGAGGAGTAGAGTTGGAGGCTGTGTTCCAGAGAAGATTTTGGTTTCAGGATCAATGGATCCTGAACGTATAAATGTATATAAAAGTGCTTTTATTTTGTGATTTTTTTTAGTGTTTTGGACGGTAAGACGACATCTAAATAAAATCCAAGGTTCATCTTTTTGGGATAATCTGCAATTTGTTGAGTGACACGGGGGGACATGTTTTGTATCGCGTAGTAAAAGTCATCTACACTGACTTGTTTGCTTCAATTTGTCATGTAGTTAGCCATTCAGAGATGTTGTATCATCATGATCATCATTAGCCGATGGTCGTCCACTGCTGGACATGGACCTCTTCTTAGGATATCCACACACAACGTTCCTGCGTTTTCCGCATCCAGTCCCTCCTGCTCGCTTGATGTAGTTAGTCCACCTGGTGAGGGGTCTACCGACAGTGTACTGCCGGTGCGATGTCGCCATGGAAGCATCTTGGGTCCCCAACGTCCATTGGTCTGCCGACAGGTGGGATTCTTTTGAGACTGCTGAGGTGGTTGAGAATTTTATTACGATTCTTCATGGTGGCTACCTAAACGACTATATCATCAGCAAATAGAAGGTGAGTAATGTACTCGCTATTGATCTTGAAGCCAATTCTCCTCCAATACAGAAGCTTGAAGAAGTCTTCCAACGCAGCAGTAAATAGCTTCACTCCTCACTATAGTTGGATAGGTTTCGTATACGGGCTGTCAAGCTGGCGGTTTTATACAGTCTTGAGCACTTGAATGTAGCAATAGTCGATGCGGCTCCTCTGTAAAGGTCTACAAACTTTAAGCATAGTGGAAGGTTATATTCTTCTGTCTTTTGTGTAACCTGTCGCAGCGTGTACATGTGGTCTGTGGTTATAAAAAAATAAATATTTCTAGTACTCACACCAATAGGGGTGATGACGGGGTACAGTAAACGAAATTCTACTTAGTCCGTCAATTAGATGATCAAAAAATAATGGACACGTATTTTTTCTTTGGGCAATCAACCAAAAAATGACAAAGTTATAGCTCGTCAAAGTTTGGGAGTAGGGGCTCGTGACGTCACTTTTTACTGAATTTTCACTTATAAGTGTACTCAAACGTGACGTCATGCGACTTTTCAAATGAATATATCTCTGCAATGTTTATATTATGTGAAAAAAGAAAAAATACGTGTCCAACACTTTTTGATAATCTGCCTGATAAACGAAGAAAAAAAAATTAGTCATCATCCCTATTAGCCTAGCCCTAAATTAAGCACAATTTATATAGAAATACATATTAAACATCCATGACTGGAGTACAAATGTGTATTCATCACACAAATATCTGCCCCCACCGGGATTCGAACCCGGGCCCTCTCGAAAACAACTTCTCGGCTTAGCCAGTAGCGATATTGGTCTGCCCCAATTAGCAAAAAGTGGTTTTTAAACTATCCCAGGGGATTATTGCTCTACGACTATATGAGAATTATATCCCCATATAAGTCTGGAAAAAGGCCCACTTTATAATTCTATTTTTACTAATAACCTTATTATAGACCGTTTATGCCTATA